GTCACTATCACACACATCACAGATACATGACCAAATATTTCCTTTAGGAACCCTTTGTCATGAAATCTCAACATTGAAGCATGCCTTGTCATATCAACATCACTCATCAATCATAATTGTCATTGCATCACGAAGTATGAAGTGCTTAGCCTCCGTGCCTAAGTTACCCAAATATTTTCATCATTGAGTCAACCATTGAGATAGCCTAGGATGGGTTAATCCTTGCACCTTGAGAGATAGTATCAAACAACATTTGACTAAGCTCATTCAACATGCACCTTCAAAACTTCGATTTTTTTCGTGTCTTTCTTTTTCGGGAGAAAGTCGGTACCCTCCACAAAAATGACGAATTTTTTTTGCTTTTTTTGCATTTTCGAGTCGCACGGTCACATTACAATGCACAAACGGGTCATGAGTCACACGTGTCTTTTCACTTTGAGTCGAGTCAACCTCGAGTCAGTCAATCAGCGAGTCAAGTTTATACCTTGAGTCGTGTCAAGTCGATGAGTCAAGCAATGATAAACCTTAGGTCAACCCTAAGATAATTGAAGAAATTGGCAAAGTTCTATAGTCAAAATAAATACAGGTGCTGCAATTCTTGGCACCAGAGATATTTCAGTAGCGACAGAGCTCGAAGCCTCTCAGAAAGGTGATTTCAACTTCACACAACAATTTCGGGTTCCTTGGTACGCCAGTTAGCCCCTATAAGCAATTTGACATGATTAGTAGTCGGCTCGATTACAATCGTAGTAAGTGATTGACCTGACAAAAAAAATCGTCTCACTTAGCTTAAGCGCCTAAAACATTGGCTCATTACAATCGGTTCAAAAGCAAGCACTTAAACGACAATATTTTCAAATATGGATTGTCGCGCATTCTTATTAAACGACAAAGTTTTCCAAAAATTGGATTGTCATCCCCAACTGACAATATTTCCAAAAATGGATTGTCGTGCATCTTCTTCAACGACAATTTTTCCAATATTGGGTTGTCATCTCTAGCGAAGTTTCCAAGCGTGGATTGTCGTACTCCTTCTGTGTTTGGCAAGTTTTTCCAAGTTCGGATTGTCATACATTCGTAGATCGCTGGCAAGTTTTCCGAGATTGGATTGTCATATACCTAGTTCCCTATGGCAAAATGTCCCAAAAGATTGTTGTAGGTCTCTATTCATCATAAATTTCGGCAAAGTTCCTCAATGTGGATTGTCATTCATTTCAGCAAGTGGAAAATTTTCCCGAAGTGGATTGTCAGTCGACTCTTTTTTGCAAATGTTCCAAGACGCGGATTGTCAATTGTGGCAATATTTTCCTAAAAGGATTGTCGCATAAGCGTTGGCAAATTTCCAAGATGGATTGCTTTCAAGAGTTATATTCCAAGATGTGGATTGTCGATCGTAGCAAAGTTCTTATGAAAGATTGTTACGAAGCATTGACAACTTTTCTAAATATTGGATTTTGGCAAATTTTCCGAGGTACGAATTGTCGCTTCATCATGGCAACATTTCCAGGAATGGATTGTTAAGTGGCATTGACAACTTTCCCTAAATCGGATTGTCATACATCATACTAGAGAGTTGTGTTGGCAAATATTCCCAAAGAAAAGAGGATTTCCATCACAGCAAAAGCACCGACATACTGGTTCACAAGCAGCAAAGCGCCGACGTACTGGCATAACAACATTAAGGATAAATGCAGTGATCTTTTCGAAGACTATCACAGCGGAAAAAGAAGCTCTTTGTTCAGAGACGAGTGAACATCGAAACAGCAAGGTGCGTTCCCTAGATTGTGGAGAGTTGTCACAAACAACTGAGGATTGTTTCAAGAGAAGTAATCTTCGATAGTATTCCCTTGGACGTGGAATATTATCAAAGCGGGGGAGGATCGTTTCAGGCGAAGCAATCTTCCAAATTTGGAAGCAGTTACAGGCGTAGCGGTTTTCAAGCGGGATGACATTCTCTAGCTTGAAGGAGGTCATCAAAACATCGATTACTTTCAGAGACGTGTGCTCGACGGTGCAAGATACGCGTTTTTTAACTCTTTTATCTGTTTAACTAACGCTAGTTTGCAGGTATCGGCGTTGCAAGATTGATTTAGGATCGCAGAACGTTCTGAATCATTCTCCGTCCCTATCGCTACTTTGACTTTCGTTTTCGAAACTTGTGTTTCTCCAAACTCAGTCAAAATGGGGGCTTCTCTAGACACCCATTTGTGTCTCCCCAATACCAAACCCAGTGATGAGTACCTTTCACGTCGAATCATAATCGAATGAAGCGAAAGTGTGGAAAGTCTAATGTTGCAAAAAGTTTTATTTTCTTTTCTCTTCTCTCTGTTTTTAAAAACTTATTTTAATAAAACAGCCAATCCAGTTTGGTTGGTCCATGATATGGGTCCAATAGTAGTGTAGTTGGATGGGGCTTCCAAAGACTTTTCCAACGATATATTATAAGCCCAATTCCGATGAATATTGAGGAAGTTATGGCCAATTTACTAAACTGGGCTCGGTTTGTGCTTTATGTACGGCCCAATGATCTAGAGGAGGGCCTAATATGATTTATCATTCCTAATGCAATTAGGAATGTTTTTAGTCTTCTAGAATCTTCTAGAAGGTTCTTTTCATTCCTAATTCAATTAGCATTGATAAATTGACTTTTGACTTTTCAGAGTTTTAATACAAATTAAAAAGCATTTTCGAGGAAATTATATGATTTTATCCTCCAGTACGGCAAACTTATCTGATTTTCAAAAACGCGTTAAAATCAGGCTTGGCGCCTAACCCTAGGCCTTGGCGCCTGGAACCAGGCCTGGCGCCTAGCGCTAGTGTTGGTGACTAGCGCCAGCTAGCCAAGGTTGGCGCTAGCTCTGTTTTTTATGCGTCAGACTCTGTTTTGTTTAATTTATCTTTTTGGCTGATTTGCTCTATAAATATCGTATTGAAAACTCTGTTTTCATTCACCAATTCTCAGCTACATTCACCTACAATCAGTTTTCATTCGCGATCGTTAATTCTCTAATTTTCTCTTAATCATTCTACCATTTTCATGATCTACAATCAGTTTTAATTAGCATTCATTCATCGTTCTTCTCTAAAATTTGCTTTTACATACAAAATTCCGCATTCACAAGATCTAGAAACACCTAGCCATATTCGAAGTTGCCTTCGCCCTAGACGTGAAAGGTTTTAATTTCTGAAGGTTTGGTCCCAAATCTCTCTTTCAATTATTTAATTTAATTGTTTATTTATTATTTTTTCCTTGAAGTTACTAACGCGTGTATTTTGTTATTAGATAGAGGATCGAGGCATCAAAGTAAGTGCTTTAATGATTTTATTGATATTATGATGTAGAAATCATGTTTATATTGTTATTATGATATTCCTAGTATCATGTTTAGGGTAATTATAATATCAAACATATTAAATATGATCCTTGCGATGCTTCCTATGTTCTTCCTAATATTTATGATTGTTATTATCATGTTAGGGTTAAAGATTTGATTTTTATGGCTTAGTGACATGCTAGGGCTTGTTATAAATCTTGTTAGTATCATGCCTAGGATCTTGCTATTATTATTATGCTTTAATATTAACATGATTATGATTATGATTATAATTGTTATAATTTATGATGATGATGATTATTATTATTATTATTATTATTATTATTATTATTATTATTATTTTGATGATGATTATTTATGATCATGATTGATTATGTTGCTTGATGCTTATTTATTTTTTATTGCTTGATCACACCTTTTATGCATGTTTAAAGGGAATTTGTACTTGTAATCATGCTTAATAAGATAATTAATAATCTTGTTTAGGGTTGACGTGATTATAATTCAAGTGATCGCCAATAATAGATTTATTTGTGCATTAAATTCAACCAACATAGATTAAACATGTTTAGGGTTAATCTATTGATTGCATGTTAATCAGAATACGATCAGAATAAAGTAGAGGCCTATTATTAGGGCAGGTTCAATCTCTTTTAGGTTGGATTTGTACCTTCATCCCCGAACCCTTATTTGGTTCTAGACCTTATGGAGTTGACGATCTCTTGGATCATTAAGGGGTGTAACCTTCACCTCGTGAACGGTTTACAAGTTCCTAAAAACTTGTTGGCGACTCTTTTGCTCTATCTTTTTCCCTTTTGGATGCCACCGTACTTTAGTGTATGATCACAGTGCGGTTCAAGCTAGTGGGATTTTTAAATCTTGAAATCTATTCCCTACAGTTTCCTCTTCCTACCGCTGATATCCTTCTGAGGACCAAATCTCCAGGTAGGAGTTCCCTGTGCTTAACCCTTTTGTTGAAAGCCTTGGAGATCTTGCTCTTCTGTGCTGCCAGCTTGAGGGCTGCTTGTAGCCTTACTTCCGGCAGGAAGTCCTGCTCATCCAACATGCTCTTTTGATTCCCTTGTGCTTCATAGTTTGTATCCTAAGGCTGGGGATCTGAACCTCCACTAGAATAACTACATCAGCCCCGTAGGCTAGAGTGAAAGGGATTTTACTGGTGGACTCTTTTTCAGTGGTTCTGTTTGCCCATAACACCTCTAGGACTAGGTTAGCCCATATGCCCTTGTGCTCCTCTTGCTTTCTCTGCAGAGCTGTTAAGGTCAGCTTGTTTGCTGCTTCAGCCTGACCGTTGCTCTGCAGGTGGCAGACTAAGGCACTTGCATATTTGGTGCCCATGTCCTCCAAATAATCTTTGATTGTGTCGCAGTCAAATTGGCATCCATGGTCAAAGACTATGCACTTTGACACCCCGAACCTGGTGATGATGTTCTTCCATATGAACGTCTGCACTTGGGTTGCCTTTATGTACTTGGTGGGTTCGGCCTCTATCCACTTAGTAAAATAGTCCATCGCCACTATGAGGTACTTTCTGCTCGCTGACCTAGTGGTGAACGGTCCCAATATGTCCATTACACACTGAGCGAACAGGATTGGGCTGAAGATTGGGGTTAGATCATTTGCCGGCTGGTTTATGACTGGAGAGTACTATTGACACTTGTCGCAGTTTTTTACATATGCTAGTGCGTCTTGAGCTAGAGTTGTCAAGTATGCACCCCTTCTAAGGACTTCTACCTCCAATGCTTTTCCACCAATGTGGTTGGCACATATTCTTGAGTGTGCTTCGTCCATGATACTCTGATGTTCCCACTCTGGGACACACCTTAGCAGTGGCTTTGAGAAACCTTTCTTCTTGAATTCTCCGTAAATCACCACGTACCAGTTGGCATCTTTCTTCACTTTCTTAGCTTTTACTTCATCGTCAGCCAGCGAGCCATGAACTTTGTACGGTCTTATATCTGTGAACCAAGCCCGCTGCTGTCCAATGTAGTTTACCTGCTCTTTCTCAGTTATGCTGCTTTCCTCAAAGACTTCCACCATCACTGTCCTTGTGAGGTTCTGCAGGGTAGAGCTAGCTAACTTTGATAATGCGTCGGCCTTGGAATTTCCTACTCTAGGGACTAAGTCTATCTGGAAGTGGACAAGCTGAGCGGACAGCTCCTTCACCTTGATCACATACTTAAACATGGTGGACTCCCTAATCTCATACGCCCCCCTTAGCTGACTGTTGACAAGCTGAGAGTTAGTCTGTAGACGAACTTTTCTGGCTCCAGCTGCGATACGCAGGCCTGCCAGAGATGCCTCGTACTCTGCCTCGTTGTTTGATGCCTTAAATTTAAATTTTATGGCATACTCGAATACATTTCCTTCTGGGGATGTGATTATAATCCCTGCTCCGCTCCCTGTTTGGGATGATGATCCATATACCTTAACCTTCCAGATACCAATATCATCATCAAGTTCATACTCGGAGAGCTCAATAGCCAACTTCAGGAGTCTGCCAAACGCGTCCCTTTTTTGTGACGCTTTTTCCAACGGGTGATTTGTGAGGATTTGAATTGTGTGCACGTCAAAATATGGCTTCAGTTTCCTTGTTGTTGTTACCACTACAAAGGCCAACTTCTCCACCAATGGATACCTTTGCTCTGCCTCGGTCAGCACGTGGCTCACAAAGTATATTGGCCTTTGCTGCTTTTGTCTTTCTACCACGAGAACGACTGCGATTGTCTGAATTGACGCAGAAATGTATTGCTGTAATTTTTCCCTCAGCCCCGGGCTGATCATTGTTGGGAGCTTACTCAGATGCTCCTTAATACCCTCAAAAGCTTCCTTTTCTACGGCTCCCCACTTAAATTCCCTGTTCCCTTTCAACAGCTAGTAGAACAACAAAGCTTTGTCAGCTGACTTGCTGATGAACCTGGTCAGTGCGACCATTCTACCCGTCAGCCGCTTGATGTCTTTGATGCATTTAGGCTCAGGTAGGCTTAGGACTACCTCTGCCTTCTCCGGATTTGCATATATTCCCCTCTCGCTGATCAGGAAGCCTAAGAATTATCCTGAGCTCACCCCGAAGACACATTTCTTTGGGTTGAGTTTGATGTTATATTTGCTAAGGGTGGCAAATGTTTCTTCCAAATCCATGATATGCCCTGCTTGTGTGACGCTCTTGACTATTGAGTCGTCCACGTACACCTCAACATTTCAAGCCCTTTGGTGCATTAACACTCTGTCCAATGTGTTCTGGAACGTTGCTCCATCATTCTTCAGCCCGAAGGGCATAGCTATGTAATTGTACACTCCACCTTCGGTGATGAATGCAGTTTTTTGTCTATTCGCGTCATGCAAACTAATCTGATGGTACCCTTAGAAGGCATCCATGAAGCTCAACAGAGCATGCCCACTGGTTGAATCTACAAGTTGATCAATTCGTCGCAGCGGGTAGCAGTCTTTTGGGCAGGCTTTGTTGTGGTCGGTGAAACCAACACACATCCTCCACTTGCTATTTAACTTCTTCACCATGACCACGTTGGCTAACCATTCTGGATAATCACAAGGTTTAATGAATCTAGCTTCCAGGAGTTTTTCCACTTCCTCCTGGATAGCCTGATTTTTCTCTAAGAAGAAGCTTCGTTTCTTCTGTCTTACTGGCTTAATGTCTTCCCTCACGTTCAGCCTGTGGACCATGAATGCAGGGTCAATTCACGGCATCTCATCTACTGAAAATGCAAAGATGTCCTTTTTCTTTCTTAGTTGTTCTATGAGGTGTATCCTCACCCCTGGATCAATATCCTTTCCAATTTTCACATTTCTCGAAGGATCACCCTCTATGAGCTTAATTGTAACGTGCTCCCCGCTGGGAAGTGGCCTAGCCATTTCTTCCTTTGTAGGTTCAAAATTTTCCATGGCCAGCTTTTGCCTCTCCTTTTCCCTGTGGTATTCTTCGCGCTTCCTTTTTCTTGACTTATTCTCTGGTTGCTCAATTGACCTTTGCTCTGTGACCGGCTGGTGCCTGGTCTTGGCGGGCTGCTTTAGGGCACTTATGTAACATTGCTGGGCCGTCTTTTGGCTTCCCTTGAGCTTTGCTGACTGCCCTTCATTAGGTGCGTAGGTCATGGCAAGGTGATAGGTGGAAACCACTCCGCCAATCTTCTGAATGAGCGACCTTCCCATGATCACAATGTAAGGTGAAGGAGAGTCTATCACTAGGAAATCTACTCAAACATCGCGCCTTTTTTTACCTTTCCCCAACTCAAACTTAGAGCTCAATTATGCCCTACAGGGTCAATCCAGACCCATTGAACCCGGTGACTTCATAACTCACCCTTTTTAGATCTTTCCTGTCTAGCTTCAGTTTATTGAACGTGCTGATGTATATGATGTTGGCTGACCTTCCCCCATCTATCAGTATTCGATCCACTTCCCAATTTGTTATTCTCATCGTCACCACCAGTGGGTCATCATGAGGATAAATTATACCTTCCTGATCATACTCATCAAATGTGGCACGTGGCTGCGGGGGAAGAGGTGGCCACTTGCGCTTCACATTATAGCTTATCTGATGTATCACCGCCCGCAGGTCCGCCCGTGCCTTGTTCACTGTCCCCCTATGCACTGGTCCTCCACTAATCACATACACTCTGCCTTCTGGCTTACTAACGCTGTCCCTGTCCTAAGGAGGACCCCTGTGACCTCTTTTGAGGTCACGACCTGTTCTATCCCCATCCCTTCTTCTAGGACGCTCAGCCTGCTGCTTGAACTGATTAAGGTACCCTCTCCTGACCAGATCTTCTATGTTATCCTTCAGATGCGTGCACTTATCAGTGGTGTGGCCATGATCCTTATGGAAGTCACACCACTCACTGGGGTCATGGTTCCAATTAACCATCCTTGGGGGTCTCTACCACTTATCGTCAGCTTTGTTCACGCTAAAGATGTGAGACCTCGAGTAAGTCAGTGGGGTATATTGGTCAAACCTTCCAGGTTTTCCCCCTCTCTTCTGATCTGACCTTCTCACCCCAACAACTCTATCCGCCTCTCTATGGCTTTGTTCAGCTCTGCTCGGCTGGTAAGTCCTGGCTGGTTTTTCTGCCCGGGTGACCTCTGCTCGCTTAATTGGGTCGCCTGGTGTCTTCCTGCTCAGCATTGCTCTGTCGGTTTTATCAGCCTTGATGAACTCGTGCGCTTTACCTAGTGCTTCAGCTAGCGTTTTGAGACTCTTACGCCCCATATACGCTCTGAATGGTGAGCCTGGTAGCAAACTGCTTTGCATTGCCAGCAGCGCTACATCCTAGCTCATATTCGGGATGGTTGTCGCCTCCTTGTTGAATCTAGTGTTAAACTCCCTCAAGAGCTCATCCTTCCCCTGCACTAATGACATCAGCTCAGTTTTCATCTTAGTTCGATCTACCAAGGTTATAAAATGCTCCATGAACATCCTTTTCACCTGATTATATGAGTATCCAGTCCGTCCAGGGTTGGTAAAAATGCTTTGCACCAAACTGAATCCGTCATGGTATAGAGCATCACGTGATTCTCAAAACCTGATATATGGCTCTTAGGCGTTGTGGTTTCGTTGTACTGGCAGCTCGACATCTTTATCTTCTCCATCGGTTCCTCCAGAATCTCCCGACAAAATGGGGAATCATCTAGAATAACGTGGATCCGCGCTTGCTTCTACCTATCAGGGTTGGACCCCTGCTCAGAGGCCGGTGACCTGCTGCGGGGGACTCGCCTCTCCGGGCTGACCTTAATCTGAGCTATTTCCGCCACGCTCCATTCTCGGTTTATATTATGCGCTTCCAACTCCAATACCTTCTTTCTTCACTAGACGAGCTCTTTCTTCTTGCGGGTGAGAGTCGTGGGTGTTGGATTCTTTACCGCCGGTTCTGTAGCTGCTACCGTTGGTGACGAGGTCGCTCCTTTACAAAAGTTAGAAAGGACTGTTGTCATCGCTGCCAACTGTTCTTTGCTGCACTTAGAGAGGTTTTGCAAGATGGGTGGCATGTTCACGGGCTGCGGTTTTAGGGTTATGGGTTCATAAGCAATGGGTTCATTGTTCGCGCTTGTCATCGACATACCGTATTTTAAAATGGAACTAGATCCTATCGGACCAACCGGATTTTTGTGAGATGGCGGATTTGGGTTTCTCAGCGGATCCTTTGGGATCGATAGTTGCTGGTGGTGTTTGGTTGGAGTCATTGGTTTTGGGTACAAGTGAATGTACAACTTCCTCCCCGGCCATGGTGGTTTTTGAACTAGTCCCTAACTAAGTTGGTGAACCTCAAGTTAGATGACCCTTCCCCTCCTTCTAGCGCCTATTGTTCCAGGTGTGGATCCAAGGGTTCTGCTGGGTTAGTTGGGTCCCGTTGACTACCTACACAAGGCAACACACGTAAACTGCCCTCGGGGGTGGCTCGAGGAACCCCCCCCCCCCTCCAATGCTTAAGTTAGAGAGTGTTTAGAGAGAGAAAGTGTACTTAGAGAGATGTAGAAAGTATAATAAATTGTGTGCCTAACCTCCTTTCCGTTGTAGTTTGCCCTTTATTTATAGGTGTACGATCTCCTTTGTGGAGAGTTCAGCATGGTTAGCTTTGCGAGCTGACTCTTTCAGGCTGGTGAGCCCTTCACAGTTCGTCTCTCGGCAATGAGTGCGCACCCCGAGGAGCAGGGCGATAGTTTAGCGGGAGCTATCCTATACAGTATTAAATACCCTAAATCAACATTCATTAGAAGAAACATTGTATACTTGCTTAGCTTCCTGACCTGAGCAATATTCATTGTTTCATGCATCGCATATCGTGCTTAGCTCCTTGACCTAAGAAACATTCATTATGCAATACTCATCATTCACTTCATCAATATACGTGCTTAGCTTCCAGACCTAAGTGACGTTCAAGATCGCTTCTTTACACCATTTATGATGCTAAGCTACATGACCTAAGTTCATTCATCTATCGTGTCATATAATGTAATTGTTCTTAGCCTCCTGGCCTAAGAACTTGCATCATGCATACATTATTTACAAGACAAGCAATTCAATCCATACGATTCATTTCCTCTTTCTCAAGGAGGAAGTTCAAAACTTCTTCCCAATATAATTTTTTTCTTTTTGGGAAGTTCAAAAAAAATTTCAATATTTTTTATCGAGGGATGTTCTAAAACAAAACATCATTTTTTACGTCTTTCTTTTTCGAGAGAAATTCAGTACCATCCACTCGTCTCATGACAAAAATAACGAAAAAAATTTGCTTTTGCATTTTCTACTGCTTGTGTTTGCACACACATACCATATACACACACAACCACAAGTTATACACATGTCAAGTCAAACTTGGTCAAGTTAGTTGGTCAAGTCAATCAAAGTCTATACGAGTCCCTTGGAAAACTTTATTTTGCAAGTCTCAATTACAGCCCACGTCCGGGGAAAAGCGGACCATGTACAGCCCACATCCGGGGACAAGCGGGCAATTTACAGCCCACGTTCGGGAAAAAGAAAAACATCTACAGCCCACGTCTGGGGACAAGAGAACCATCTACAACCCACGTCCGGGGACAAGCGGACCTTCTACAGTCCACGTCCGGGGATAAGAGGACCAATTACAACCCACATTTGGGGACAAACAAACCATCTGCAGCCCACCTTCGGGGACAAGAAAACCAACTATAGCCCATGTTCGGGGACAATTGAACCACCATCATTCACGGTGCAAGGTTCTCGATACACAGAGACCATCAATCTCTCATTAGACAAGTTATTCCTCAAGCATGGAAAATTGTCGGTCATTGCCACCTCTCAAGGCGAAGAAGTCAGCGATTATATCATTATCGACTTTCCTCAAGCATGGAAAGTATTATCCGGTGGATTTTTTCAATTATAAAAAGTTGCCAAAATTATATGTCGACTTTCCTCAAGCAGGGAAAGTATTATCCGAAGGATTTCTTCAAGCATAGAAAAACGCAAAATTCATTTGTTGACTTTCCTCAAGCATGGAAAGTATCATCCGGTAGGTTTCTTCAGGCTTAGAAGCTACCAAATTCATCAGCCGACTTTCCTTAAGCATGGAATGTGTTTCAGCAAAACATCATCTGGTGGATTCCTTCAAGCATAGGAATCTACCAAACTCATTTGTTACCGATACACTAGTGTCAGATAAGCATTCTATCCCTTTACTCTTTTATGCGTAGAACTAACATTTTTTTTGCAGGTAACGGTGTATACTGAGTGATTTAGGATTGCAGAACGTCTTAAATCATTCGTCGTCCCTATTGACTACTTTGACTATAGTTTTTGAAACTGACGTTTCTACAAAATCAGTCAAAGTGGGGGCTTCTGTAGACACCTAAAAATGTCTCCCCGAAACCAACGAACCAAACCCTAACCCAATTTTATTATTTTTAATAATTAATAAGACTGTTTAACATTTAATTATGCCTAATTATATCATTAATTATAATTTAGTATTTTTAAGCAAATTATAAAAAAATATTATAATTTCACCATCCCCCTCCCCCATCCCCCACCAATCCACCGCCACGTCTTCCACCACCCAGCCAACTCTTCTCCCCCTCCCCCACACGCATCAACTCCTCGGCGACGCTACGATCGGCGCCCAACTTTGGCGGTCGACCCACCCTCTCATCTTTTCCTCCTTACCCCGACCTCACCCTTCCCCCGTCGCGCCACC